TTACAACCCAAAAAGACTGAAGAAATAAGTGATAGTGGCCTCATTGATTTCACTTTAAACTCCAGTGTACCAGTTCTTTAAGCACTTCAATGTTACTGTATTTTCCATTATTTATTTCTATATTTCTGTTTTTCAGACAGAAATATTTGAACGTTGCTACAGTATTGCAGTATTGTTTACAGTTGTCTGTTACATTGCACATACTTTTATAGAGAGTAGATACATATTGTATATGTGCAAATCTTTTTTCCAAATTATAATTATCCAGAAGTTTTTCCAAATTGCTTGCACTTCAGAGCTGTTGCACTGTTACTGTTGATATATATTGTATTTTTTATGTGGTGCCCCCCCAAACAACATTTTAGGCTCAGGATTTTTTTTAACTTTAAGCCCTGTTAATGATCCTGAACACAAACTGGTCCACTCTCAGATCATGGACCGTTTATTAGATCTGTTAGCGGGACTAACACCTCAATATGACAGGAACTATCTGTTAATAACTGTCTCTCTGTGACTCAGCTCGTGACGACGGACCCCCCCAGGACCCTGATGAGAGTCTGATAGATGAGTGCTGCCTGCTGCCCAGTCAGCTGCTGGTTCCCAGTATGGACTGGCTCCCAGTGAACGACGGCGTCATCGTGAAGCTGCAGGGGAAACACCCGCTCAGACTGCAGTTTGGAAAAGCTTCGTCTTTGCCTGGAGGAGGAACCACCGCCCCGCTGGAGGTCTTCACCAGGTAACACACCTAGACCTCGACCCAACCCTGGTTTGGGCTCAGTTTGAGTCCACACACTGTCAGTGCTGTTCACTTTCAGACCTGCAGGAATCCCAGTCATTCTGAATATGGCTTCCTGCAATTTCCTGTTTAGATTTGTTTTGATTTATTGCTAAGGATCATTTTCCCACTGATCAGTCTGATTTGTGTGTGTGTGTGTGTGTGTGTGTGTGTGCGTGTGTGTGTGTGTGCGTGTGTGTGTGTGTGCGTGTGTGTGTGTGTGCGTGTGTGTGTGTCAGGAGTCCTGGCTCTCAGAAGATGGATAATCTGCGCTGTGTTCATATGGGAGTCTGTCCCACTGAGGAGAGTAAAGCCTGCACCAGGTGAGTCCACAGGAAGTGATGTCACCATCACGTTCATGAATCCTGAAACTGCGTTGAAGGTGGTTCCTGACCAAGTGTATCCAGTGTATCTGGGCAGAACATGATGTACGACATTGTGTTTGTTAATCACAGTCAGTCCCTCCAGGATTTCACAGGCTTCTTCTGGGATTGTAGCAGCTAAAATACCTGATTTCACGGCAGCTTTCCTTAAAAGTTTATTATTTAGATGTTTTAGATGTTCGGTTTTTTTGCAATGAAACTGCGGGAGAAAATAAAAATTGTAAACATGGTCGCTATCTTTTTTTGTATAATCCATTAAAAATCGAAGGCAAATTGTTGGAGTGAGAATAAATCCAGGTGAGTGCAGGTGGTGACCCAGTCTTTGCAAATCTTACAGGGAAAAGGAACAAGAGATTCTGCCCCTCTGCTCTGTCTTAATCACAGGTAGAGGTGTCTTCACACGGTCTTTAACAGTGATGTTTGTTGGTGAATGTGAGACGTTCGTGTCACACGTCTGCAGCTTCACAACATGCTTCAACACCACAAACAAGGAAGTGAGTTTGGTGACATCATCAAGGTTTTGATTCTGGACTGGTCTGACTGGTCGAACAAAATTCATGGGGATTGGTTGAATTTGCGTTAATTATTGCACTCGCAACTTCCAGGAGGAACTGACTGATTAATCACAGTTGTTTTACTGGTTGATGGAGATAAGCAGCTGCTGGAGTCTCATTAAACCACAGAGGAAGAAGAGGAGCTCATTAAAACTTGACTGTGTTAATGTGAGGACGGTTCTGCCTCCTCATCATCACTCCACACAGCTGATGTTTCCCTCTTCATGTTCTTCAGAGTTTATTCAAGAAGTTTCTCACATTGCGTCTTTGATGTGGATGGAAGCAACTTAGGTAAAGAGCAGAGAGGAACTCCCCGACCAGGGTCCAGACCCAGACCCAGACCCAGACCCAGACCCAGACTCCATCCTCTCCAGACCTGGATTTATGGCCTTTCAATTACTTGTTTGTTTTAACTGGTGCAGCTTCTGGAGCCTTTACAGTACTGGTCAGGACACTGCTCAGCCAATGGTTGTGACTCGAGTCTGTTAAAATTGTTTAACTGTGTGTGTGTGCGTGTGTGTTCAGGTGTGGCTGTGTGACGATGCTTCGTTCTCCTAACAAGACGAATGCCATGAAGCAGTGGGAACAGCGCTGGATCAAAAACTGTCTGTGTGGAGGTCTGTGGAGGAGGATCCCCCCAACACCCCTCACCTGAACCTGGACCAGCTGAACATAACTGAAACTCACCTGAAGTGGAGATCATCTGATCTCTGTGCTGCAGTGACTCAGTTTTCTGCCTGTAAATAAATATTTTTCTCATTTTGTAATAAAACTGTCACAAACTAAATGTTCTCTTGTATTTTCCTCTTGTTACAAACAAACAATCAGCTGTTTGATTTGTATTCCCTGTGTCGGTGACAGTCAGTGCCGGCAGCCATTTTGTTTTCAGTTTGTCCATCCATCTCGTTTTCGATATCTCATTCCCCCCGCAACAACAGAACTTGGCACAAACATTTAAGGATGAACTGATTAGACTTTGGAAATCAAAGGTCACAGTGACCTTTAGAAAACACTTTTTAGCCATTACTCATTCTTTCACACAGCAATTATGACAAAATTTCATAGAAATTTTCATACATATATATATATATATATATATGTTCATATTTAATATGACCCTGGATTAACAGGGACGTAACCTGAAACTAATGGAGCAAGAGGTGTTTCTAGTTTTTAATTTTGTTTTTTGTTCCTCACTTCTGAAACAAACCTCTGCTCTGGGCTTTTATTTCCACTGAGTTTCCAGATTATATTTAAATCAGATTTTATTTCCAGGCCAATGACAAACAGATAAATATGTTTTGATGTATAGTCAGTGGCTCTGACCCAGGGGCCCAGGGGCCCAGGGACCCAGGGACCCAGGGACCCAGGGGCCCAGGGGCCCAGCCACTGAACACTCAGAGACACAGAACAACTACAAAGACATAAAACTACATGTAAGATGTCTGTAAATGAAGGAGGAGCCGTGTGCCCTGATCTGTCTAGGTGAGTTTAACCTGTGAGCTTACTGATGATGATGATGATGATGATGATGATGATGATGATGATGATGATGGTGGTGGTGGTGGTGGGGTTCAGGTAAATGGAGTTTTATATATGTGATATTAACTATATAATTTTGTTCCTTACTAAAAAGTGACCTGCCTTGACTCGGTGTCAGTGTGACGTCACAGCAGGACGTAGTGTTTAACTAATGATGTGAGTCTCTACACAGACTGGACCTCATACATCCCAGGAAGGAGGAGGCACTAATCACCCGCCATACACCATCCACACAGGAACTGGATTCTAGCACCTCCATGTTTCACTATTGTCTCTCTCTCTCCCTCACTCACTCACACACACACACACACACACACACACACACACACACACACGCACACACACTCCGTGCAGCAGCAGCAGACCTCCAGCAGGAACAGAAAACGGTCGCAGGGCTCAGGATCAGATCTGCGTTATTTTAGGGAGAACGGAACCTGAACCGGGACTAAAACCGAACAGCTGTGACCGAGACCACCAGACAGGTGTGTCCGGTGTGAAGGCTCTGTTCCCGGGTCCGGTTCTGCAGCTGGAGCAGAAAACGTGACGGGAATCAAAGCGGATCGATGGTCTGAGGTGAGACCGTGTGTGTGTGTGTGTGTGTGTGTGTGTGTGTGTGAGACACATTTATTACAGCAGATTAACCGGAGCTGCATCAGGGTGTCAGACAATCAAACACGGAAATTCCCGGTGTGTCGGCTCAGAGCTGCAGTGTGTGTGTGTGTGTGTGTGTGTGTGTGTGTGTGTGTGTGTGTGTGTGTGTGTGTGTGTGTGTTTTGGATGATGACTGCAGTGTCCAGGCTTCGCGGCTCCAGCAGCAGAGTCTTTTACCTGTCTACCTGTGTGTGTGTGTGTGTGTGTGTGTGTTAAAACCTTCAATATCACTACATGTATGAACTCTCTGCTGTGATAGGATGGTTTTTAATTGGTGATGAAGGGGATTTGCTGTGTGGTGTGTGGTGGGGGGTCAGACCTGTGGGACACAGTGTAACAGCAGCTTATTACTGACACATGCTCTGTAGAAGGAAACGTAACAACAGACATGATTCAGAGTCGAGGGAGGAACTATTGGTGAAGATCCACCATGTGTTTATGGTCCACTCTCAGATCAGCTGGGCCCACTTCCACACACAAGAAACAAACACTCAACTTCACTTATAATAACCCCCCCAGTTGAAAGCAACAGCTCAACGATCACAGCCCCAACCAAGGCGAGGAAGAATGTCTGTTACAGGTCAATCTCACCACAGTCAGACAGACCAGAGAAGGTCCACCAGGTTTAATCCACATACAGGTCTCCTCAGTAAAGTCCACCAGACTTCCTGTGTAGCTGAACACACCAAACGCCACCTCACCTGTCTGCGTTCACCTCCCCCTCATCACCTCCCCCCTATTTAATACATCTCTGTGGAAGGAAAATAATGATGATGATGATAATAATAATAAACAGCCCATTTCCACACCTGTGTTGACGTAATAAATCCAATGATACACCTCATAGCATTATTCAAATGTGAGGGAAAAAAAGGCAAAACCTTTTTCCTTTTTACTGCTCAACAACAGGTCTCGTGTGGTCTTGGACTATCAGGAGGTTTAAAGTTCTCATGTGGTTTTCTGGATCCTCCAGATGTTTTATCTTTTCCAGCTGTTCATGCACAGAGCGCTCTCTGGTGGACTGGTCCAGGATCAGATCCTGGACCTGGACAAGCTATAAACCTGTGAATGTGTTGCAGGCTGATCAGGATCAGGATCAGGATGATGATGACCTCAGAGAAGATGAAGAAGAAACCTCCAAAGGACAGTCTGACTCTGCTGCCATGTTTCTACTTCGTGGAGGTGAGAGGACAACCACACACACACACACACACACACACATGGATCTGGTTCTGGTTTCTTTGTTCATTCAAACATTTTATGATCCAGGTCCACGGGGCACTGCTTACACTGTGCGTGTGTGTGTGTGTGTGTGTGTGTGTGTGTGTGTGTGTTAGCTGCCCATTGTGGCTTCTTCTATGGTGTCTCTGTACTTCCTGGAGCTTACAGACGTGGTGCAGCCGGCTCAGGTCGGGTTCCGCTGCCACGATCGGGAGCTCAGCATGCCGTACGTGGACGGAGGAGATGAGCTCATCCCTCTGCTGATGCTGCTCAGCCTCGCCTTCGCTGGACCCGCCGCCTCGGTAACACGCCACCGCTTTCAGCCACACAGAGACCTATCAGATCCCAGTCCGGGTCTGAGGGATCACAGGTCTGCTGCAGGTCCTGAGGTGCGTTTGTTTTGTGTATCAGATCATGCTGGTTGAAGGTCTGATCTACTGCCTGCAGTCCAGACTGAAGCTCCGCAGACCTGAAGGAAGCATCAACGCCGGAGGCTGCAACTTCAACTCCTTCCTGAGGAGGACGGTTCGTTTCGTAGGTACGGCTCCGCCCAGCACAGCTCCACCCACTACACCTGCACCAACCTCAGCTCCGCCCACCACAGCTCTGCCCACTATGCCTGCACCATCTCCAAGTGTTGCTGGTTTTGTTCACCTGTCTCTCACTCTCCAGGTGTGCATGTGTTCGGTCTGTGTGCAACGGCTCTGGTCACTGACATCATCCAGCTGTCGACAGGTTACCACGCCCCCTTCTTCCTCACCGTCTGTAAACCCAACTACACCCAGGCCGGCGTGTCATGTGACAAAAACCCGTACATCACCAAAGACATCTGCTCAGGGCACGACCAGAACGCCATCATGGCCGCAAGGTCAGCTGACTGTCTGTCTCTCTGACTGTCTACCTGTCTGTCTGTCTCTCTGTCTGTCTGTTTCTCTGTCTCTCTGTCTGTCTGTTTCTCTGTCTCTCTGTCTGTCTACCTCTCTGACTGTCTGTCTGACTGTCTTTCTGTCTGTCTGCCTGTCTGTCTGTCTGTCTTTCTGTCTCTCTGTCTGTCTCTCTGTCTGTCTGTTTCTCTGTCTCTCTGTCTGTCTGTCTCTCTGTCTGACTGTCTGTCTGTCTGTCTGTCTGTCTGTCTGATTGTCTGTCTCCTTCTGTCCTGACAGGAAGACATTTCCCTCTCAACATGCGACTCTCTCTGCTTTCGCTGCAGTTTATGTTTCTGTGAGTACGACTGTTTTACATGTGAATTAACTGTGTATGAGATCCAGTGTTTTTCTGTTTGATTGAAAAGGAAAAGTTTTGATCATTAAAGATTTAATAATGATTTAATATGCATGATTTGATAGTAATGATGTTTTGATCATAATGAAGATTTAATAATAAAGAATTAATAATGATTATTTAATAATGATGATTTGATGATGATGATTGTTATTAATGAATCGTTTGAATGAATGAAGCTGATGTGCTGCATCATGTCCATTCTGTGACACAGACAGGTAAAGGTGTTTGTCAGTGTAATAATCTACTGTTTCCTTTCAGATGTATTTTAACTCAACCATCTCAGACAGCACCAAGCTGCTGAAACCCGTGCTGGTGTTTGCATTCGCCATTGCGGCAGCATTGACGGGTCTGACTCAGATCACTCAGCATCGCAGCCATCCCATCGACGTCTACGTGGGCTTCCTCATCGGAGCCTTCATCGCTGCCTACCTGGTGAGACGTGAGGTTTCTCATCACAACACACACACCTGCTGTCGCTCATGTCAGGTAACACACACAATCACGTCCTCAGTGCTGCTGATCAAATGCTCCAGCTATTGTCATGGACATCTCTGTGTGTTGTCGTGACTGAGGCAGGTTCAGGTTGGAGGACTGGCCACTGTGGAACAGCTGACCTGTCAGACATGGCTGACCTCACTGCTCTGCTTCTTTATATTAACAGGTTGTAGGTCGTAGGTCACAGGTCAAAGGTCACAGGTCCAGGTCTCTCTCCCTCCTCAGTTCTTATGTTTGACTTCAGTGTTGTTGAGCTTTTCTGTCTGTAAAACATTTAACCTTTTGTATCGTCTTCCTGTCGACCGTGAACCTTTTGTCTTCACGGGTCAAAATTGACCCGATCTGTTCGACTGTTTATAAAACATAGTATAAAAATATAACAGAATAATTGCATTACACCTTTTCAATCAACTTTATTCCAGCTCATCACCGAGACATTTACACTTTCTTTTGGAATTTTATGGTCAATAAACCTGATTTACATAAAAAGAGACCTCATTTTTGAGCTGAAATTTCAATTTTTTTTTTTTTTACTATAGTTACATTCAGACGAACATATGTTAATGGATTATCACAGGCAGATAAATGTCATGGGTTAGACAGGATATTGTTTTGAAACCATTGCGATAGAGTGACCCATTGCCCCATTGTAGTAGAGCGAAGACCACTGATGCTATCAATTTGAATAAAACACCAAAAATTCAATGAAAATGGTGATCATTAATTACATTTGCAGAAAGTGTGGTAAGGAAGCATCCATGTTGTTTTCAGGCAATTATGTGAAAGAAAAACATTTCTGATATAAGAATATTTGAGAACCAGTCAGATCTACAGACAGGACGCCTCATTGGCTCACCTGGTAGAGTGCGTACCACATGGGCTTATACCTGGCCGCAGCAGCCATGGGTTTGAGTCCAGCATGTCATCCTCTCTCTCTCCCTGACTCCCTGTCTGTCTCTCACTTCACTACCTGAATAAAACCTCAAAATGCCAAAAAAAAGGGATGGATGACAGGAAGTTATAAGGTTGTCGTAAAGTAGTTTCTCTCTCTGTCAGTGATCAACTGGATCAATAATTATCAGAGATTGAAAGGAAAAGCAGACAAGGTGGAACAGTGCTTCAGTCACAGTCCGCTGGTTCCCTCTGTTCTGCTCAAAGCAGCAGAAACTGAAGAAGAAGAAAAACATGAACGAGTCAAAGACCAGAACAGAGTTTCACTAACATGTTGTGTAACATGTAAACGAGTCGTTATTACCGAGTCTGTTTAATTAAAGTGAAACTAAATCAACCAAAAGAACAATTGTTGTGTGTATTCTGTGAAATGACCCTGCAGCTGGTCTGAGGACCTAAAACCTGGTGGTTTACAGTCAGACTTCCTCCTTCAAACACTCTGACCTGTTTTTTATTTTCGCCCTCCAGGCGTTTCATGCCGTGGCCAACTTCAAGTCCTCTGATGACATCACACTGGCCCCGCCTCCCCCGCCTCCAAAAGAAGACCCTCTTCGAGCGCTGACGGAGCGAGGACATGAGTCCGTCTACAACAAGGGCCCTGCCTCTGCCTCGGAGAGTAATGATGAGATAGCAGCAGCTCCGGCCCCCATGGACCGGCTGGAGGGCCTGGGGCCCCTGCAGCGGGAGAAGACCTCTATGGGGAGCCTGAAGAGGGCCAGCGTGGACGTGGAGCTGCTGGCTCCTCGCAGTCCCATGGGAAAGGAGACCATGCTGACCTTCAGTAACACATTGCCAAGGGCCAGCATGAACGTTAATGGGGTGCTGGGGGCTAACGAGGGACCAGAGGATCCGGTTCAGCCGGTCCAGCCAGTCCAACCGGTGCAGCGGCGACTGAAGGCCGTGCAGGTTCCCATGGACCCAATGCGGTCACAGCAGCTGGTGTCAGAGTGGAAGCAGAAGTCTATGGAGATGAGAGGCCTGAGCCTCCGGGACGAGGCAGAGCGTGAAGCCAGTGATGACGGCTCTGAGGTGGGCTCTGTGGGGACTGATGATGGAGGGTCTCAGGCCCCTCTCTACCAACCTGCAGTGCAGTCTGGGAGGACAGCCTGTAGTCACAACCCCACTCTGCCTCCAGGGGGCGCCAAAGCTGTGGCAACTCCTAGACCACCACAGATCCCCGAAGCAGGACCCCCTCCAGTGTCCCCAAAGAGTGCCCTGACCCGGGCCAAGTGGCTTGCCATCCGGGAGAAGACAAGTGGGGAGGGTTCAGCCCGTGGTGCCGCCAACCAGCCGCGACTCATGCAGGTCATCGCCATGTCAAAGCAGCAGGGCCTCCTCCCCTCCTCCTCCTCTGGGGAGAAGTCCTCTGAGACCACCTCGACCTGCTCTGGCACCTCCTCCACTGCTGACTCACCTTACTACCGCCCCCCCTCTGAGCAGCAGAGGGAGGGCTCAGGTATCATAACGGTGGACGCCCACGCTCCCCATCATCCTGTTGTGCAACCCCTACCCCCCCCTCAGACCTCCTCCCTTGCAGGTAACAGTAACCCGTGGGAGTGGGTGGGGGCGTCCAATGGGGGCGACCCGCAAGACACCTACGACCTCAACAGCCTGAACCGAGGAGACTCGGCCGCCCGCGGCAGCAGCTTCCGGCCTCACCGATCCGCATCGCCGTGCGCCACCATCGACCCTGACCTGGCCCTGCCCCCACCTCACCCCCAGGTGGAGGTGACAGTTGACTCTAAGCGCAGGGAGATGGCCATGAGACGCAAGACCGCTCTAGTTCTGTTGGATCGAGAAATTCGTAACCAGACTGAACAGGAGAACTACTACAAGAGTCTGCAGGGACGTAGGTTCAAGGATTAGTCTTTTAGCTTTTCAAAACAAAAGCCTTATTTTAAAACTGGTCACTAACAGCACAGAACCTGGACAGCAGTGAGGACCATGTCACTATGCATCTCATGGGCTAAAGGTGATGGAAGGAAGGAGCTGTAAGAACTGAAGGTTTCCATCCAGGCAGGTCAGACCTGATCCTCAGAGGCTTAACACTGCAGACGGAACAGGATCTAGCAAAGTCCAGGACTCTGCAGTCCTGTTTGTCCAATAGTCCACCAGGGAGTGGCACAGTTATTTTTATTATCATAATAATGGTACTTTCCGTTTTAACACATGTCACATGGTACAAGGACACAAATCAGAAAACAAGCAAGAACTACATTCAAGAAAGAGGTGGAGTCTGAAAATCAGACATGTGGAGATGTAGTGTGGAGGTGTTGCTCCAGGGTGGGGTTGAGGTCTGGCAGCAGAGTTGTGGACATATTGAAGCCAGTCCCGGGTCTTATTGGTCCCATTAGGACTTTCTCCAGTATCCAGACGAGATGTAACACATGATGAAGTTAGAGGTGGAGTCAGGAGAAGTTCCTCAGGTGGAATAAAGTGATTGGATGATAGATTTGAAGGTTGTGTCCTCAGTGGAGGGACAGTGGATCAGCCGTCAGGCGACAGGGCCATGTCACCACCCTCTGGAGTATGGTGTCTTCTGTTGTGTTGGACGTCCTGAAGGCTGATGAGTGACAGTGGAGGGAGGGTCTGGTGCCATCAGAGTAGAAATATAAACTGATTCTGATTCTAGCTGATGATGATGAGGGGTTTTGGGGGACCCCTGATGTGACGGGGGCAGAGTATTGACCAAGGGGGACTTCCACAGATTCCTAACTCGACGCAATGCAGAAAAGTGAAGATGTCCTGACTCTGTTTTCATTTGTAGAAACAAACTTATCTCATGTTCTAGGTTTAAATCTGACCAGTAGCAGCTGGAGGTTCTAGATTGTTCTGACAGTGACTGACTCTTTATTAACGGTGAACAAATGACTAGAATAATCGTAGTTTATCGGAACAGTTTCTCTGAGCTCCTCCTCCAGGTCTCTGGATGTGAGGGAGGACATGTTCACTGCAGAACCTGATCAACTACTTTAGAGTTCTCAGAGTTTTTGTTGACACAATATAGAGGTCTTTGTTTGAAGGTACGGGACTTAACCACCAGCACCTGTGGAGGAAATCCTTTATTTCTTTACTGTACCTGGATGTCTCAGGACCTTCAGAACCTCTTTAGGACCTGACTGCAGACAAGACCTGCTGCTGGGTTCTCAAGTTTTCATGTGACCAGGAGCAGAGCCCTGATGATGACACAGTGTGGAGGTAGATACAGTTCATTAGTGTCATCATCTGTGGTCTGATGATCAACTGATCCACTGTCAGTTATTCTCCCTCCATTAGATTCAGTCACTTCCTGTCTCCAATCAGATGTATGAACCAGACCAGAACCACAGTCTGATCCAGACCAGACTTTATCTGTCTTCAGTGAGGAGACCGTCCACAGTGTTGAGCCTCTGAGCAGGAAACTAGACAGTTTCCATGGTAACTCATTCTGTGAATAATCTGAAGTCAAAGAGCACAGAGACGATTTTGAAGATTCATTCCTGAAGCACAAACATGCAAGAAACATGAAATCTGCAGTGAAGCTCCTGTTTCCTCAGCGCTCACACGACCACCGACCGACCACGACGACTGCTTGAGCGGCTGCCGTGGTTGTCGTGGACACTGTGGTCGTCGTGGATACCGTGGCCGTCGTGTTGTGTTACTGCGCGGCAGCCATGTGGAGGTCTTACACTGATTGTATATTACCTGGACGAGTGTGTTGTTGCCTTTCTGTTGTGATGGCTCGGTTGCTATAGTGATTTTCAGCATGTTGGCTTGTTAGTGTGCTGCTCTCTGATTGGTCGAGCCTGTTCATATTGTTGTTGTGTGTGAATGTGTGTATTTATTAAGAACGGATAATAAGAGATATTTATATAATGATCTTCAGAGTTACATATTCACTCTGTGATTCAGGTCAGAGGTCAAACCTCGTACCTCATGGGTTATTAACTGGTTGTTAACTTGTTATTAACTGGTCAGTAACATGCTAACTGGTTATCTGACTTGTTAATAAATGGTTATAAACTGGTCATCTACCAGTTACTAACAGTCAGTAACTGGTTATTTACATTTTATTCCCTGGTCATTAGCAGGTCATTAACTGGTTGTTAACTGGTCATTAATTGGTTATTAAGTGTAGTTAACTGGTCATTAACTGTAGCTCACTGGTCATTAGCTGGTTGTTAACTGGCAGTTAACTCGTCATTAACTGGTTATTAACTGGTTGTTAAATGTCATTAAGTGGTTAATAACTGATTGTCAACTGGTCATTACCTGGTTGCTAACTGGATAATAACTGGTCATTAACTCGTTACTAACTGGTCATCACCTGGTTGTTAACAATGGTTAACTGGTCATTAACTGGTCATCACCTGGTTGTTAACTGGTTAAGAAAGTGGTTATTAACTGGTGAATACAAGTTCTATCTCGCATTTACAAAATCTTTGTCTTTACATTTTTTCAGCATCCGTAACAAAGAAAACAAGAATTGGCTCGTTCATGAGGTCGTGAGTTGAAAAAGTGTAAAAATAAAGTTGTGATATTGTTGAATATGACAGAGATGACAACATGTGTTATTGCGCTGTAGTAAAGTGATGAAGTGTCTGAGTCACAGAGTGTCTCTGTACGAGATCCTGAGGAGCCGGTTCTGAGTTGTCCCTGTTGTTAATGTGTCTGTGTTGTTGCATGTGTTTGATTTGAAACCAGACGTCCTGCTTTTTATTCTCAACTGAAAAGGCTCAAGTTTCCATTGAATGTAAAAACATGATGATTCTGTAAAATGTCAAAATAAAAATCTGCTGCTATAAAGATTAAAATGTGTCAAACAGATGCTGCATGATCTGTGGATCAAAATCCACCATTAAAACTGGTTCTTGATCACTCACTCACTGACGTTGTTTCTGGGCCTCACTTCTGTTTATTTTCAAATGAGTCTTGTTTTATTCTGAAGGAAGATTCACTTAAAACTACGAACATGATCATTAATCATTATAGGTTGAAATTAATATCCAATGAAGATATTTCATGCATCAGTTGTTGTCCTGGTCTTGAAGTCAGAACTTTGTGTTTATAATGATTCTCTGGTTGATCATATATTATTATATTATATTATATTATATTATATTATATTATTATGTAATATATTTTATCTCTGGTTTACAGGTCTTCTCTAACAGAAGTCAGTTTCTGTGATCGTCTCATGTGTACAAGATTAACACACACAAACTCACAGTTTCTGTGGGAGAACATCTGCAGAACAGAAAACTCACTTTCATTTCCCTCATAGTTTTTCTCTGATTTCAGCTTCCTGGAGGTTTTGGCCCACAGGTCGTCTACTTTAACCAACCACTTAGAGCTGAGGGATGAAGGACCAGTCAGGGGCAGGAGGCCCGCAGGAGATTTCCCTCTCAGCATTCCCTGAGAGCAAACCTTTGGAGCGGGACTCAACCAGGCGTTGGATCTAAAGGAGAACCAGGACTGCAGAGGATGAGCAGCTCCACAGCTCGGTGTACTGCACCTCCAGGCTCATTGTTCAGTTTCCATGGCAACAGTGTTGATGGCTGATGCTACAATAAGAGCTCCAACACACACGCACGCACACACACACACACACACACACACACACACACACGTGTTTCCTCACCTGATGCAAAAATGAACAGATGAGGTGAACTGTTGAAATGTGACGTCATCACATGATAAATGAGCTTGTAACTTTGTGTCATAAAAACTGGATCATTGGTAAAGGTGAAGACTGTGATATTACTGAAAGCTCTGGAGCAGCTACTTAACTGTCTGTATCTGTTAGTGACAAAGGAAACAGAGAGGGAGGGGAAACAGGAAGCTCCTGAGCTGGAATCAAACCAGAGATGTGGAGTGTGTCTCCGCCACTTGTCCAGTCCAGTACTGGACCAGTACTGGTCCATTCGTGCTGGTCTACCAGGACACAATTGTAACGTCTGACAGATCAAAGTATAAAATAGTTTCCAAATAGTTAAGTTACTGTGGTGAAATTTTACCTAGCAGAGGATTATTAAATTGCCCCCTGCTGGCCAAAGAGCATCCCTACAGACATATACACTGTGTACTTCTATACTTGTGAGGAGCCTCATGGACATAAAACAATCTGACTCCACCTGAAAGACAAACCACATGTGGTATCCTGACCCTGAACTGTTTCTGACCTGAATCATAAAACCAATCTGAACCCTCAACATGAGGACCAGACGAAATGTCCTCACAAAGACAGACAACACCAAACACACACACACCTCCCACCCCCTCCCTCTCTGTTCTTTATTTCCTGGAGGCGATTCAGCAGCAGTGTTGCCATGGCAACGGTGACCAGAGGAGAGAGAGAACAAGTGTATGTGTGTGTGTGTGCATGTGTGTGTGGTAATTTATCACTTTAATAGGCTGCTTTACACGTGTGTGTTTCCATGTCTTAAAAAAAGTATACATATATATCATATATGTCATAAAATATCACAGTATAATTTGTCATAATAATGTCATTATGTCATATAAATGTCATAATACATCAAAAAAATGCATATAATGTGTCATAAAAATGTCACAGTATAATACGTCATAAAAATGTTATAATAAGTCATAAAATGTCATATTATATGTTATAAAAATGTCACATCATAAAAATGCCATAGTATAATATGTATCATATTAATGCATATATAATATCATTTTGAAGGATCTGATTGGACAACAACAGATTCCTCTACAAAGCCCCAGGAACATTTCAGATGTGACCAGATGATGCATATATGCAATATCTACATATATGATACAGATATATTTTAGAGATCTGTAGAGAGATCATGTGTTTGTTCTGACAGGTCCTCAACTGGATCCTGTCATGACTTGTTATTACCTGCCCTTTTCTTTTTATTTAATTTTTTTTACCTGTTATTACCTGTCATTACCTTTGTTATTACCTGTTATGACATTTGATATTACTTGTTATTTTCCACTGTTACACAGTTACACACAATCCTGGTTGTTAATGATGAAAACACTCGTCACATGAACACAATTCTGCTTCACACAGTTTAACTTTATTTCATCTTGTCTACATTAATCTCATCGTTTGTCTCTATGGTGCTCAGCAGCTGATTGGATGAGGAAAAGAAATGTCGTCTTCAAAGACCAATCAAGAGCAACCTATTCTGTTGGAGTGTTCCAGTTTAGAACCAGTTAAAGTCCTCCTGTGGGTCCTGGACCTGGACCCGGTGATGGATCTAGTCCTGCTGGTCTCGCTGGTTCTCCTGGTTGGCAAACACTCCAGCCTCCCATCGCAGAGCTCGTTGGTTTTTATGACGAATGACTCGAGTTGACTCAACCACCTGAACACAAAGATACAGAGACAAGAAGAAAGAAACAAGAGACAGAGAGACAACGAGACAGAGACAATGAGACAGGGACAGAGAAAGAAAGAGACAGAGGGACAAAGAGACAAGGAGAAAGAAACAAAACACAGAGAGACAAAGAGACAGACACAGAGAGACAGAGGGACAAAGGGACAAGGATAAAGAAACAAGAGACCGACTGATGAAGTTGAGCCACATTTTCAGCCTTAAAAACAATTTTTTCTCCACAAAGTTTGAAACGATGTTCAGTTCAGTCAGGACGTGATTAGCTTAGCATAAAGACTGGAAACAGGAGGATACAGTTAGTTTAGCTTAGCAGCTAGCTTAGCTTAGCATGCTGAACCCCACAGACAGGACTGTGACATAGAAGCGTCAATGTTG